GCGCAGTGTGTAAGCTACTAACATAAAATTTTCCAATTCTTATTTATTTACGCATATCTTGATTAGGGTAAAAGCGCTTGCCGCTCGGAAGTCTATATCTTAAAGGAGATAGGAAAAATTGTTAAAGGCTGCGAAAGTATCCCTTTTTTTCTATTTGTATATGACATTTTTGCAGTATAAAAGTTATTGACTTGAAACGATGCAAATCTAGTTTACTTATTTATACCTTATTCCTTTCCCTACTTTTTCACTTTTAGCAATTTCGTCAAAGTCTGCAAGGGTATTAAAACTTCGGCTTGCCGAAGTTAGCTTCTGTCCTCGTTTTTTAATAAAGTTAATTTATCATCCTCTTAAGCGTTGTACATATTCCATTAGGGTAACAGCTTGGTCATTTTGCATCCAAAATTTTATTAACAAAAGAAAGTCAGAATGGAGGAAGGGGGTGTTGAGCTTAATTCTATAACAAAACCAATATTTATTGCCGAATGAACTCCATTCTGACGTGGCCACATAAGGGTAACGTTTTGGACTGGCTGACTAAATTAAATTACAGTGGTTACATTAATTGCTCGGCCAGTCATTCACTCAGTTTGTCAATCACTCAAGCCGCTATTCACATGTGTATCTATCAAACGCATGGCACGTGTCAACTTTTGGCATCTAATAAAGCTTATGGAGCACTAAATTGGATTTGCATACATTATTGGTTCACACAATGTGGGTACCTTTTCCATGTTCTAATGTTGGTATTGAAGCGTGAAATTCCACTCATTTCAGGACCTTCTCATTGATCAGCTGAAAGAAAAGACCAAACTTAGGTAAATCAATTTAGCTTATGGCAATGAATATATTCATATACGCACTGTCATTATTCAACAAGATTTTGGGTGATGTGTTTACATTTGATTGCCGTAAATGCGATTAAGCTGAGTGACTTCAAAGTGTCTAAATTAGATTTCGTTGTGCCTGAAAAGGAAATTGCTTGGAAAAAAGGGAAAGGCAGTGGAAGAGAAACATTTCCTAATTTATGCTTAATAAGACTCCAGTCGTAAATCTCCAAGGTGGAGTCCTGCATGTGTGCCTGCCCTTGGGGGTCATAAATAAAACCCGGAAAACGTAGGAAAAATCTGCACACACACAGTGAGCCAGCCAAATGCACCATCTCCTGCCGTTTTTTTTTTTTTTTTTCATTCTACATCTCTGGCACCGCTTGCATTTTAATGTCCTTCATGGATGGTTAAGGCCTGGTGAAGCCTGGCGAAAGGTCAACATAACGCGTTTGCCTGCGGTTGGTTTGCGGATGGCCCCCACAGGATTCCACTGCAACTTTTCCCTGCGGTCAGTGCAACGGTTTGAAATTACGACCCAACCAGAAAGGGACACAGCCGCGGGGCATGGCTGAAATGAGATGAAAATATGGCTGCAGTTGACTAGATGGCCATAAACATGTTACATGATCCGCTGCCAAAAGGGGTAAGGCTAACTGGGGCCAAAAGCCGTCGAGCTGCACAGGGTTGCCGGCTCATTTGCATGGCTGCCACACACAAATTAATTGGGGCTTTAAGAATAGATGAGGTTTGGGGAGGTTGAACTTGCAACAACTTACGTAACGAAAGGTGAAAATAGGTTAAACTAATTATTTCGCAGTTAAGGTTGTAGTATTCAAGTTACAAGTGGATAAAGAGATGAATAAATTAGTCTATTTTAGTTTTTTCAAGTTACAAGTGGATAAAGAGAAGAATAAATTAGTCTATTTTCTTTTTTAAAAAACTGACATCACAAATAATTAAAAATATCTTTCGTATTACTCACATCCGTCCAAAAAGAAAAATAAATAATCCTAAGTTTAAGCTGGACACTTAAAGTTATGCTAATAAATAAATAGGCATTGTAAAATACACCAAATTATAAGGTAAGTTCAATGTATTAAACATAAAGATTTCAAACATGCAACATATAAAGTATCAGCACTAAATTATTTTGTGGTCTAATAAAATCTCCTATTAGCTTCCCCAACTCAAGCCACTTTGGCGATGAGAGTATCGATTGATTGTCCTGCACTCTACAACCCATTAGCGGCTCCAACACCCCCCCAGTCAATTCCGGGAATAAATTCCTGCAGCCAAGGTCCGGGAAAAAATCAAATTACTCCATTTGCATACGGAAAGTGCAGGGGAAAGTGGGGGTTGGGGAATCGTGTTGGAGCTGAGTATGTACATGCATAAATAGTTTACGTCCGCTGCCTCCACATTGGGCTCACATTACGGAATCCTTGCTGTGCACCACATGGCGTATGAGTAACGCAACGCCTTATTAAGCCGGGCCACTTTATGATGGGTTCGGAGGTCATTGAGACGGCTCTTGTCCAGTGCATAACGAATATCCCTTACGCAGGCAAATTATTTTTATTGTTCATTTCTTACTTTTATTCCGCTACATTTTCGACCTTTCTGCTGTTCGACACAAAAATGTAAATGAAATTTACTAAACGAATTTTCTTGTTAAACGTCACAAATGGCCACGCCCCATGCCGAGACGATTTGGAGTGCAGCGGTGGGCGGTTTATGGGTTTTAGCGGGAATGGACTGACAAACCGTAATGCCTTTTCTGGCAACAGCGACAGGCGTCACAATTCTAAGTACACAGAGAAAAATTTAAACAATGTCTGGAATTTAAGATATGCAATAAATTATGTACATAAGTCAGTTTAAAGGAATTAATGTTATCTATTATATTTCAGCAAAGATCAGTTAAATTCATATTTAAAATAACCGTACAATACTCAGGAAATATAAAATGAAAAATAAAATATATTTATATATGCAATTGAAAGATATTAAACAACAATTATGGCAAGACACAAAATTTTAAGAATATAGGTCAAATTGAATTATTTTTATCATCATAATGAAAGTTATAAAATATCTAATATTTTTGATTCCTTGAAAATAAATAAACCTTAAACTACTTAAATTTTGTTTGAATTAATTCAGAATAACCTAGGTCATCATTAACAAATAAAACGTTTTAAGTCAAAGGACAAAAAAATAGTTTTCCACAATTATTATTTTACAATAGTTATGAATTGTATTATTATTTCGTACTATTATTTTATTATTTTTATTTCACAAACTCAAATATGAATTTTGTGATTTTAGTATTCTTTCTCGTTGTGTGTTTGCGGATGGCGCATGGCGACCACTTGACAGTCACAGGCTCAACATGCATACAAGTCCTTTGCCGCGCAACTGCTGCTCCTGCTCCTGTTCCTGGTGATGTTTTCGTTGTTATTGTGGAAGGACAACGCTCACTTGGCTTGCCTTTTGTTTTGCAAACAAAGCGAAGTGGGCGACCGGAAGGGGCGGAATGGCGATGGGAGGACGTGGTGGCAGCAGGCCATAAATCAATTGGCAGCGTAGAAAAATTGCAGAAAATTACTTGATATTTACGGTCACTGAGCACACAATAGAGCCGGTCCCGCCCACTTTCCGCACTGCCACATTCCCGCCCCCCGGCAGAAAGCAACAAGTATTGCCCGGCATCGGTGACAGCGACAGGACATTTGCTGGCTGTAATTACACTTGTACCTTGCAGCCGGGCCACATGTCGTATTAGTAATAAGTGTCAAGGCCAAGGACGTTGCCCGAAGGGTTCCGCATTTTATTTAATAAGCTGAGAAGCGACCACTTGACAACTTTTGGATTACTGTCCCACTTAAAAATCAAATAATATCAATTTTCGCCATTATTTTTGCTTTGAACAGCTACAAAAATACATTACTTAAATATTCCAGCGCCGGAAAGTATACTATAGTTTTGAATATTTAAGCTGTTTGGCCATTTCGTCTGAGTCCAATAAATAGAAATAGATTTCTAAATGCTAAAAACAATTTGCTTTCTATTTTAGCATTACATTTTTCTTAAATGCATGTGCTTAGCACGTTTTAATAGTTTTTGGTCTAGTAAGTAATGTAATGGCATAGATAATATTAACATTAACATAAAAGAGGCCGTAAAAATGTATGAAATAATTTAAAGAACTTACTCTGGAATATGTAACACCAACATTTTCCATCAGATATTCGGAATAATATTATTGCCTATCTCAGCCTCTTTACCAAGTCAAGATTTCTGTTGATTCTGCTGTCAGGGAACCCCTCTTGTACGCCATCCATGTCCCTCCCAGTATGATGCACTACTCTGCCAAAGCTCTCCAGGAATTGCCTCCAGCTGGGAGACAAAAGCAAATGAAAGAGGGGCCTGGTAGCTCTGCATGTAATTATTCTGTCATCCGAGGTGTGTCACCAAGTCGGAGGAGGAGGCACGTTGACAGGGGGATTGCAAATGGGATGGCCTGGTGGGAAGCGAGAAGACAGGAGGCCAGCTGGCCTTGCCCTCTGACCCCGTGCCATTGTTTATGGCCACCCAGTGTTGTACATGTGCCGTAATTGCATTGTTGCCGTTGTAATTACAGGCAAACATGCAGTTAATTAAAATCATTAAAATGCCTTTTGCTTTTGCCTTTGAGCCACTGAGAGGTTAGTTGTTATACGACGTATATGTGAATGTGTTTTTTGTGACTCGAAGACAGCTGGGAGGAGCTTTTTAATTTCCGCCGGGGGCAGGATGTGCCTTTGCAACTGGCGCCCAACTGTCACAGCGCCGAGTGCAAATTATTTTGGCATCAACTCGGTTCACTTGCCGTTTTTTACGTGCCTGGCACAGACTTTTGTTTGGAAAACTGTGAATGGATGGGAAGGCGACCCCGGCTGACGCATGTCGTCTGGCACGATTTGGGGCCAGGGAATTCCTTGGATTGATTGTGATTAATGCTCCGACAGTTGCAAGTTGAGCAAATGATTTTAACGCTTGCCAAAACATTCCAAAGTGACAAGCTCGTGTAAGAGTCGAAAACCTATAATGTGTACATGTGTGCGCATCAAAAGGCGTTCAAAGGACCAGGCGTCAACTGCAGACATGGCAGCAATGTCACCCGAATGGTTAATTGTTTTTGGCATACTTTATTTATACACGCTTCATCAGTCATGGGTTGACGGAGTTTCGAATGGCACCTCGTACGAGTCGTAAACCAGCAGATGAACCTTCTCCAGCAGCTTAAGTCCCGTCAGTAGTTCATGTTTTTCACTCGCCAGACAATGGAGGCCCAATTCCGTGCGGCACTTGGAGCAGTGCAGATTCTGGAACTTTTCCCCATCCGTCACTCTAACCTTATCCTCTTGAATTAAATTGAAGGTCCTGGTCAAAAGCACATCATAGCAGGTCTCATTTACCTTGTAGGACTTGTAGCTGACAATATTGCCACAATATCGGCAGCCATAGGCAATATTCAAGCCGAACATTTGAAACAATTATCGCTGCTTTCTTGGATGGGAAAAAATAATGAAATTTTATTTACTAATAAACAAAAACTAAAGTCATATAACGAATCTATGCTAATGAATAAGAAAAATGTCTTACATATATATTTTTTTTTACTTTTAAACCACCTAATTTATTTTTACTTTTTCTTGAGATTTAATAGAAAAGTGCTTAACAAAACACAAATTATTAAAAAATTGAGATTTAAGGGAAAGAGCTAACTTTATTCCAAGTATTTAAGTAATATCTGTATGAAAAATAAATAAAATATCTACAACAACAAATGGATTTTTTACAAGATTTTTAAGTTAGTCTAAGCAAAGAAGCCTTTTTTTAAAGAAATAGCCTTAAATGATTTTATGATACCTATAGATACCTGTATCTAGTATCCCAAAAGCGTTTCCCCATTCCAAAAGCACGCACCATAAATAAGCAGAGCTATTGATGGCAAATCATTTGTGCTAAGTCGACCCATCATTAAGGACGAACAATCGAAAGGCACATAAAGCATATTTGATGCTCATTGGCAAAGTTGATTACAAATACAATGCCGTATTCATGGCCGGTCACGGCAGTATCCTGCATCCTGCGACCCACTCCACTGCCAGTTCGATAATTAATGAGTTTAGGCAGTGTCCTGGGATGGGGCTATTCCTCGAGAGAAGTGTTGCCATCATCGTCATTTGTTTATGCGTCTGTTTGCAGCTGTTATTTTATTCAGGCTCTCGCCTTGAAGATAATTTGCGCACGTGCTCCAGATTTCGTGAGTGAGTGTGTCCTTGTTTGGCCGGAAACAGGAGTGCGCTGGTGTGGGTGTGCAGGAGCCACATACCCCATCCTTACGCTCGGATAATTGCGAACATTTGTCTTGGGCGCATATCCAAATACATATAAACCAAATTACGGATCCGAATTTCTATCTGGCGCCACAGCAACGGGGCCAATTAAAAATGTATCTTCCCTGAGTGCCAAAAAGGTGTAATATCAAATCAAGGATGAAGTGTAGCGCTGCTCAATCAATGAATTTCCCAAAAGTGGTTAAGGAAAATTCAGACGAAATTGGTTAACGAACCTGCTTTTCATACTGTTTTAAATTAATGGTTTCCTTTTATGAACCATTTTTGAAAACCAACCTGGCATTCCTATTAATCATTAATGAGTTTTTGATTCTTCATTTGTGTTGATTTATGGAAGACATTGCAAAAATGTATTAACAAAGATATAATGGTTTCCATTAAAGACATATTTCAATAAGGAAATAAAGAAATGAAAAACCAAAACAAATCAAGGAAAAATACAAATCCATTATTTAATTCCGGAAATTTATCAAGGAAAAACTTAAAGAAATATTTTGTTTTAGAAAAAATCTCGAAATTTACAAATAAATATTAATAACAAATGATGCAAATGAAATCAAATAAATTGGTGTAGAAATGGGAATGATTTCAGTAAGAAAAAATTATATCTTCTATTTCAGCAGGATGCTAATGCAAAGATGATAAAGCTAAATAAGTGAATTTACAGAAAGAAGATTTATTGGCTTTATTTAAGGAAGCATTTCAATTAGGAAAGTGAGGAACTCAAAAGCCATACCCCGGCTACTCAGCTAAATTTGTAGTCAGCCGAGAGCCAAAAGATTAAGCCAACTTTTTATAAGTGGTCCAACTAAAACAACAAATTAATGAAAACTAAGTTGAACATTCCCAAGTTGCCAAAGTTTTCTCTCTCTCTCTCTCTTTCTCTCACTTGCCACTTCAGCGTCTCTTGGCCTCGTATTTTGGCCATGTTGGAATCGTCAGCAGCTTCAGCCACCCATTTCCACCACTTTCCTCAGACCGAAATTGATGAAAACGAAATTGATGTTGACTCCTGGGTAAAAATGGGAAGGAAGGATGTCGATGTCGATGCGGTTAGCACTGCCTTTTTGGCCAAATAACGGCGACAGGCAAACGGAATGGGGAAAGCTTTTAGCAGATACTTTACGCAAATCCCGTGGGAAAACATTGGCCCACTTTCGGCACAGCGGCCCCATCATTAAAAGTTAAAAAGGATTTTCAACGGATTTACGAATTTGAAGCTGAGCCCGAAAGACAAACAAAGCCATCAATTTACATATGCGAGCAGGTCAGAGCTAAAAATTCGAAGCTCCCAGGCTGGCAAGAAATATATAAATTCAAGAAACACAATTTAAGATGCAGCCAGCGTTTGGGGAGGTTCAGAATGGGTTAAGGGTGGTGCAGGGTGGTGCAGGGTGGTGCAGGGTGGTGCAGGGTGGTGCAGGGTGGTTCAGGGTGGTTCAGGGTGGTTCAGGGTGGTTCAGGGTGGTGCAGGGTGGCTTGGGGCCACAGAAACAAAGCCGAGCCAAGACTGTCAAGTAGTCGTCGTCCCGCATCCACTTACAGCAGTCCCAGCCCCTCGTCCTCGGCCATTTCCACTCGTAGTCATCGTCGCAAGGACCTTGAGTTGTGCCTTCCTTGCCTTTTGCCTTTGTTGTGCTAAACTTGTGGATTAGCTAAATGCAGGCAGGGCATGCCATGGCATGCAGGCGGCTTCATTCCGGTAAGCCAACCAACACCCAACCACCCATCCTCCCCATGACCACGCCCCCATCCTCCCCATAAGGACGCCCACTTAAACCTAAACATTTCGCCTTGTTGAGTTTTTATGAGCTGCTCATGTTGGCGTTTCACTTTTCCCTTATTCTTACTCGGTCTTTCATTTACTTACACCTGATGTTCAGCTTATTTTTACCTGCCCCTCGAGGAGTCCTGCCACCCATTCCATGCAGCCTTCTGAGGCAAAGTAATGGGGGCTTCTTAATGACAGAAATTGTGCGTTATTATTATCTGGAAGAGTGGATAGCAGTAAACAAAAGACTTGCGGGCTGTTTATTAACAGGTATTTGTATGCGATATCTCATTAAATATATAAGTTCCTTAATTTTACATAAGAACAGGGGTTACTTACACATATATATATACTTTTAAGTCTGAGAAGAACGTTTTTATTTATTTTTCATAAAAGGAAACACCATTCATATTTTAGTTGATTTTTTTATATCAAAAAAATATAAATATATATTCATATAAATATATGCAGTTAATGTATTATATACAAACACTGACTTAAATAACTCACTAGAGTATTTAAGTTCCACTAAAGGACTCGTACTTATTTTTAATTACTCAAGGCATTTAAAATTAAAATGGGTCATTAAATCGGAACATATATACATTCAAGACAATGAGGTTTATTCTTTCAAGTCATTATGAAGTTATTTAAATACAACGTAACCTTGGGAAATGTAATGTGCAGAAATTCCACCTGTTCGTAAGTTAATTAAAGTGCCATTTCGCGTTCAATAAATTCCCGGTGCGGAATTCAAAGTCATTGATTGCTGCGAGGATGGCTGCTCCTCAGAGGCCACCACTCCCAATTCGACTGCCTCAATTGAATGCATTTAATTAAAATACATTTGGACATGGCCCATGGGATTTCCCGACCCATCTGTCTCCTAATGAGACCCTTCGATGAGCCTCACATTCCGTTTCCATTCGATTGCACAACATTGGACCAAAGGGGCGGGGGGCAGAACCACGCCCCTTCGGCCAAGAATCAAAATCACTTGAATGCAATAGCCTGGAATAATTTGAGAGGGGGAGTGAGAGGACCCCCGAACCAAGAAGGCGCTACTCAATGGGGCGTTAATGAAATAATTAACGCATAAATACAATTTGCTGGTCAGAGTTCAAGGAAACAAGAAGCGGGCAACACAAACCGCCCAAAGGGCCAGCAAATTTACCACAACTGCTACAAAGCCATCAATTTGCCAGCCCACTTGCCATGCCCCCTTTTTTTCAGGATCCAATGAGGCAGCGAAGCATGCAATTTGCTGGCTTATTTATGGGGCCAAAGGGCCCAAGATGGTCGCGTTGGCCAAGAAGCAGTTGGAACTGGGGACTGCGAACTACGAACTACGAACCAACCGACCATCCGACGGAAACATGAGCAGAACTTTTGCAAAATAAAAGTTTTCCGCTATTTGATTTGTTGGTCATTCGGTTTTCCAGCTTAGCCCAAAAATCTATTGAGCCAAAGCCAAGCGAACCAGTTAAAAGCATTAGCCGGAGATCGGGCGAAAGCCACAGTTACACCCACACAAAAATGCAGACAGAGGGACATCCAGTAAATATATATATATACATACATCCACTGACAATAAAATTCAGCAACTGTTTGGCTTGCACATCCTGCTGCGCTTTTGTTTGTCGAGCAGCGAAAATTTACAATTTCTGGCGGGTCCTGGCACAGGATGTTCGCCGTTGGCCAGGATGCGCTAGAAATGGCTTCACTTCCTCTCGCTCTGCTTTATGGCCCAGAGCTGGAATTTAAGGCCGCCTTTAAGGGGCACCTTCTGCCCGTGGATTCACGTTTGATGTGATGCCCCGGATTGGATTGTTTGGCCGCCCAAACGAGTGGCTCTAAAAATACACAGGCCGAGCTACCCGTTTCACTTGTCAAGAGCAGAGATACACAGCCATCCAACCAGTCCTTTAGTGGCTTTGGGGCCATGCGTGTCCTTTGTGGGCATACACGGAAAAAACATCATCTTTAATTAATAAATAGACCAGCTTAACAAAAAATATTTCACATTTTTGCCGTACTCAACTCAAGTTTACTTGAGTCATTTCTAAAATGTTCAAAAAGCACAAACCTTAATATAATAAAATATTTTTTCAAAGCTTCCAAACAGCTCAAGCAATTATTTTAAAACCTAACTTGATTTTTTGGGGCAGCTTAAATATTTATATAAATTTATTTATATAAAAGAAAATTGAGTTTATATTAATCTATGAATATGATTACTTTATTATAAAATTACTTTAATATATATATATTTCTAATCGACAAAATTGCCTAATTCTCGCCTAATTTTAGATGGCAAGGTCACACTTTTCCACAAATTGCTTTAATGTAAAGT